AAGAGTAAAATGTACAAATATGGACCCCAAAGGATTTTTCTGCTCTTATAAAGCAAAAGCGATGTTAGACATGTTTTCAAAAGAGAACGCCAAAAAATTTCATGGAAGCATATTTTAGGGCTAGTCCATCTTTCTAGATCAAAACAGTTTAAACTATAAATATGTTAATTTTTTTCTCTAATTTCTGTAGCTTTTGAAAATCCCAATTAAAATTTTCAGATGGAAAATGTAAGGGAAAGAGTTAGTAGTGACTCTAAATGTATTCTGGACAAAGAAATAAGAGAACCAAATACTTTTTAAAGGTGAGTAACAAGGAGAACTGTCCTAGTAAATGTGAGCATACACTTTCAAGTTAAAATCATTACAAAAGGTACTATGAGTATGAAAAATGCCTCAAAAATCCAGGGGAATAAGACAGTCCACCAAAAGTTCCAGATAGGTAAAGGTTACAGCAATAAAATCAGTACCAAAAAAATCGGAGCTGTATGTAAAAGGTTAAATACTTAGAAAATCATTAAGTCTGATCCTCACCTCTGAGAAAATGTTGAAGCAAATTCAGATGGATTGAAAAGTTACAGTGAAAAGAATGAAAATAAAACTAGAGACTATAAGTGACTACATGTACACATGATTAGCAGACACCAAAGAAGACTATGTGAAAATTACACGTTTTACTGTGTCAAAGAAACTCATAAACAAAACTAAAAGACTTAAGGAAATCAGAAAAAAATGATAGCAAATGGTTAACCATTTGAAACAAATGTCTGTAAGAAAAATGCTAATTCCTTCATTTTAAAGGCAGGAAAAAGACACAAAAACTCATACAGAGAAAAACAATATTTAAAGTAAACACTTTGCTTCACTGTTAATCAAAATTTTAAATTAAAGCAGATAGATATATTCTCCCTTATCAAAGTAACAAGAATTAAACAAGATAATTAATATTCATTGCTCAAAACTGTTTGAGGGAGCATCAAAAGCTTTTGTTCATGGAAAAATGGGATTAAAAGATACAAGAATTTTTCCACAAACTTTTTATAGTCCATAAAATCAGATGGCTACCACTAATAAACAGGAGACTAGAGTGTACACTGCTTCAGTTAACAAAAGTCCAGAACTTTCATATACTTTAAGTAGATAATCCTAATCCTGGAAGTCCATCCTAAAAGGAGGTCAAACCACCAATTTCTGGTTTGCAGCTAAGTGCTTAACCACTGTCCCTCCTGGGCTCCTCCAAAATATGAAAAATAGTTCAGTTACAGTCATGACACTGAGTTAAGCACTGAACTACTGACCACAGGGATGGTGGTTCAGACCCACCAGCCACTCCTCAGAAACTCTGTACAGAATCACTGAGTCAGAACCAACTGGTCGTGGTGGTAGTGTGCCGTGGAGTCGATTCCGGCTCACAGTGACCCTGTATACAGTTTCCGAGGCTATAAATCTTTATGGAAGCAGAAATCCTCATCTTTCTCCCGTGGAACGGGTGGTAGTTTGGAACTGCTGACCTTGAGGATAGCAGGCTAACTTGTAACCACTACACTACCAGAGCTCCGTAAACAGCACTTAACAATCCTAAAAACAATACATGTGGTTACAGATATACATGCCAGGATATTGACTATATCATCATTTGTAACAGTAAGACACAGCCAACAAACCTAACTGTGCTCTTCTATCGCCGCCCCCTACCTTTCAGGCACAGGGCGCAGGGCGGGACTGCAGGGAGCCCCCTGATCTGGAGTCAGGTTTACACTTGGTGTGACCAGTGGAGTGAGTGCAGAGAGCTGCTTGTCATTTCCTGTGGAAACTTTCAGGATCTCGTGCTCTGGGCCACACGTCCTCCCCTGCTGCAGTTATCATGAAAACCTGTGCTGAATGGACCCTGTCCACCTGGGGGCATGGGAGACACCAACGAGCACAGCCCTGAGCCAACCCATTCCTATAATGTGGAATGTGTGTGAAGCCACCGATATATTGGATCACCGGCCACTAAGACATGGACTACTGGATCTTGATGAACACACCTCAAAATAACCAATATGAAAATGATTATTAGGGTATTTATATCAATGACAAGTATGCTGTAACATGGAGTCCTGGTATGGTGCTGTAGGATCAGCACTGGACTGCTAACCACAGGTTGGTAGTTCAAACCCACCAGCCACTCCTTGGAAACCCTATACAGGGTCACTATGAGTCAGAACAGACTCGACACCACCTAACAACAACATACTGTAATACAGACATTAAAATCATGCTATCCTGGTTATTTGATAAAATCAGCAAATGATCAAAATGCAACAGAAAGAAAAAATGGAAACATCATCTAATCTACATTCAGACACACAAAGGCTCTAGGAGGTTTCTTTCCTCACAGGAGGAGAGGGAAGGGTCACAGAAGCCGAGTCCCCCAGCAGCAGCTAACACCAAGCAGCCTCCGGCGCAAGTGGAAAAGCAGGGAGGAGATTCCACCACAGCTGGAGTCATGCACCCAAGGCAGAGAGAAGAGGGAGTAACCCAGGCTTGGGGCAAACAGTCTCGGCCACAGCTGTTCTGGAAAGAAGAGCAGACTTTCTGGATCCCCTCTTCTAGGTCACTCTGCTGGTGTCCTGTACCTAAAGAGGCCCTTCATAGGGTACAGCCTAGAGCCTCAGATTTCTGCATTGTGATCTGGGATCCAAATCTGACCTCTGCTTCTTTTGTCCTCTCTGTACATAGTGTGTTTACCTTGGGAATGTGACAGGGAGAACAGGTTCACCTAGGATGGGATTTCTGTGGTGGTAGTGCTGCGTCCTCAAATTGGTTCTGATTATAGCGATCCTGCATAGAGTTTCCAAGACTGTAAATCTTTACAGAAGCAGAAAACTTCATCTTTCTCCCATGGAACGGCTGGTAGATTCAAACTGCTGACCTTACAGTTAGCAGCCCAGCTCATAATCCACTACACTACTGGTGATTTCTGCAGCACCCCCAACCCTGAGAAATATTCCATCTTAACACTACCCCTTTTGCCCTCACTTACAGTTAACTTCAAAGAGATCAATTATACTGCTGCTGCTGTTGGTAAATGCCGCTGACGTGGTTCCGACTCATAGTGACCCTGTA